GTCTTTCAGGTCACAGGTAGGGTTTATGGGGTTTCGGGTTAAGGGTTTAGGGGTTAGGGGTTTGGGGTTTAGAGTTTAGGGTTTAGGGGTGTAGGGTTTAGGGTTTAGGGGTTTAGGGTTTTACAGGGTTTAGGGGGTTTAGGGGTTTAGGGGTTTAGGGGTTTGGGGTTTGGGGGTTTGGGGGTTAGGGGTTTGGGATTTGGGGTTTTGGGGGTTTAGAGTTTAGGGGTTCAGGGGTTTGGGGGTTTAGGGGCTATAGGGGTTTCGGGTTTAGGGTTTAGAGGTTTAGGGGGTTTAGGGTTTCGGATAGCGCCTTCAGAGTAGAGGATTTAGTTTATGGTTCCTTCGAGGGCTTTGGGTTTTGGGAGTTTTTTTGTTTTGTTTAGGGTTTGGGATTTTTGAAGCATAAATTTGGTGAAACTCGAAGCTTAAACCTCTTAAGGGTTTCAGGTTTCCGTGGTGTAGCGGTTTCCATATATACATCTACTAACTTGTACACCGATGAAGAAGAGTATTTGTATAGCAACTCGAGTGAGGAACCCTGAGAAGGTGACCTCCATCTCCCATAGACCCTAAACCTAAACCCTAAACTCTCAACCCTCAACCCTCAACCCTAAACCTAAACCCTCAACCCCAAACCCTAAACCCTAGACCCGAACGTGGGAACCTGATTAAAAGAACCCCTGGCCCTATGACCCTGAAATGATCGGAATCACATCAAGAGCCACGATGGGAGCCAGGGTTTTCTAAATCAGGCTCCTAACTTAAATCCGTACTTTTGGGATATTTGGAACAATGTACCCATAGTCTCCATTGTAGATCCTTTTTGGCTTAACCAATTATATATCAAGGATTTTATAAGGTATCCCAAAACCCTAAACCCTAAACCCTAAACCCAAAAAAGGAACCACAATGGAGACTCTAGGTAAAGTCCTTGCTTCATGCCAAGAGAGGTTCCAGCATGGCGTGATGTTGCGCTTGAGAGACACGAGGTTTGGGGCTTGGGGAGGAGGGTTTTGGGTTTTGGGTTTAGGGTTTAGGGGCTTCAGGTTTTGGGTTTAGGGATTAGGGCTTAGGGTTTTGAGATGTTTGCACAAGCCGCGAAGCCCGAGTTTTATGTCCATGCATCAGAAGCCTGCCTCATTCTAAAGCAGGCCTGGCTCGGCAAAAGATCTGCTTCAACGAACACTACCTATAGTCTCCATTGTCGTTCCTTTGTTGGGCTGCCTTAGTAAGGAGGCTATAGGTATGTACCGTGACCAAGCCGGGAGGTCCGTCACTCCTAAATCCCGGGGTCGTGAACCCGACTCGCACCAAAACCCTACACCCTCTTAAAGCCAGTCTAGGGTTTAGGGTTTGGGGTTTGGGGTTACCAAAACCCTAAATCCTATTAAGGCCAGTCTGGTCGAGATGCTTTGGCTCCCTCCGGAATGATCCCACACTGGCGGCCAATGCTCACGCCAGTGGTGGTGTTATCCCCAGTGCAAATGACACAATTGATACCTCAGGGTGAAGGCAAGGCCCAAGCATTTGGGGTTTCGGGTTTGGTATAGGGTTTAGGGTTGGTTCAGGGTGCCTAGATGACTGCAGACGTTCATGAACTACTAAGCCTGCCACTGTGTGGTCCAACCAGCCGCTGCAGGACTGAAGATTGGAAGCTGTAAACATGAAACGTCTCATTGCAAAACCAGGGTTTAGGGTTTAGGGTTAAACTTTACTCCATGCGAGTTCCAAGGCTTACCCGGCTGTCTCAAACAACAGAGAGAAAACGAGGCCTGTACCCTCGGGCTGACCTGAATCCATCTGGTGAATATATTTGGGGACCGTAAACCCTAAACCTGTTTTTTTTCAGGAGCCCGGTGGTCCAAACTGTAAACCCTGCTTCCTCAACAAGCGGGAACCTCTATCGTCGCCAAAACTGTCCGAGGTTTAGGGTTCAGGGTTTTTGGTTTCACTATCCCCAGATGGCTTCAGTTACAGGAGTTGCTACTCATATAAGATGCAACCGATTGACTGCCCTAGGGCAACGAAACGAAATATACAGAGCTGGAATGTACATGCCCAAACCTCGATGTGCGCTTGCTACCGTTGCTACACCTCAGGTCGAGACAGCTGCGACGGTGAAGGTATCCCTTGATCACAAAGGGTAATTATGCTTAGAACACATGCTTGGCAAAAGCTCTGCTTGAGTTTCAACTCGCCATTTTCGTGCAGGTCTTCCTTACCATGATGGCCCCAAGGGCCCGTGTGCCCAACAAAT